AGGTAGCTTCGTCATGACTTGGACTAAAAGATATTGAACAATGTTGGCCAAACGTTGAATTATTCGATCTAATTGCTTATTTTTTGTACCTTTTTGATATTTTTTACATTATTGTACGGTAGAAATATTTATCGAAGGTCCGCATGACAACAGGAACAAAATATACAATTAATGCATGGGTGCTTTAATTTCGAGACAAGGCAAGTTTAACTGTAGCATTTATTTTATGATTTTTTATCTTAATTTGGTACTTACTATTTGTTTTACGCTTGAAGACATCTCCTTTATGTACAATGTCATTTTGATCAACTTCCGCATCTTTGCTGTTCTGCATAGAGAAGCAAATTTTGTTTTTAGAAAATCGATCAAGTGCATCATACAATGTGTAAATTCGAATTCACTCCAATTATTTGCCTGGCAGTGGCATACTGAATGTGATGGTATACTCTACAGCTACAGTATATCTATAAATTTTTCACTGTTCTAATGAACTTATAATGAGGTCACTGGCTCTGAACCACATACGTGGTGAATTCTGGCATAGTGGTCCATGTCAACAATGAATTATTACTTGACAACTTTTCACTAGAGTAAGACCAAATCGGTTATTGCATATTCCTTTTTAAGTTACTAATACATTTTGTGGCAGCTATAAACTTCGAGCTCACCCTAATTGCGAAAAATAACCGCGATCTCCACTACACCACAACCCGCTCAACCTTAGCATTAATTTCATAGCGACTGAAACGCCACCTCAGCGAAAGTGGACAGTAATGCACCTACCATCATTGCTCGTTTAAACAAGTCGTATGCCCGTCCAGCTTGACTTTGGGCACAGTTTGTCACCTAAACACGTTCCAATAAGTTATATACACCAAATTATATACACCTATACCACGCGGGATACGCTAGTGTCAACATGAGGCAACTGTGCGAAATAGTCATGTGTATATATTAAGAACCAGGGATAGGTGCTAAAGTAGCCTGCGAACAGGCTCTCAAGGTGAAATGAGAGCCTGCATCGATGACTAATGAATTTGAATATCTGCGTCTCAAATCTTGACGCGAAATTCTCATTGTAGTCAGATGCTATAATTTATATGTTTCCTCTGAGCTTTAAATATGTCAACTGCTGAAGCACTATGCATAAAAAACACAATAACCGATCAAATTGGTCTTGGGTTGGTCTTGGCCATCTTATCTCAAAGCACGAAATGTTCTGTTTTGAGAAAACAGTATTTAAAACATTTAAACATTTTCTTGAATATCTAATATTTCGAAGAACAGTATAAACTGTACGGTCTAAATTTAGTTTTGTAGTGAGCTTAGCGGGTTTAGAAAAGAAGACTTACGCCCGTATTCTAAAAGCTCACTCGCACTCAATGAGTGGAGGTTCAATCTGAGCTTCTCTTGAGTATCAATGTTGTTTTTGAGGGCGAGTAGTCACCGAGTAAGGTATGACACTAACACTCCAGCTATTCAAAAACAGCATTGACACTCAAGAGAAGCTCAGATAGAACCTCCACTCATTCACTGAGTGTCACACTCATTCACTGAGTGTGAGTGTGAGTGAGCTTTTAGAATACGAGCATTATTGTCTTTTAGATAACGCCCTATATAAAACATCCGCGATTACTTCCAGTGCTTGACTATGGCCGCAACCCGCGTTTTTTATCCGCGGTACTGTTCGCTTCCATTTATTTTATTATAACTTACTTAAAAACTATGGCGGGTGGAATGTTATAAAATTATACGGAAGGAAATTTGTCTGTTATGTTTGTCATTATGCCATGCATTTATTTGTATATAATTTACAAAATATATGAATATGCAAATATAAGTAATATCATGTCGTAAAATACCGTGCGACAAGTCACTCTGCAGTTTATATCCAGATTACAATAGATTATAGTACTGTTCCTGAATATTTGTGTTGATTAATTAACCGACAAAGTTCGTAAAACTTTGGCAGGAAAATGTGTTGCTTTATTTACTATTATATCCTCTTTTGCACCGATTCTAAAAACGGAAATATGTATATTTTGATACGACTCATGCAATGAAAGCATAAGACCTATATATACAAACAATTAACAATGTCCGATGTTAATACACTTGTACACTGAACACATTCGCTACTGATGATATAAAGTACGATATTTTATCGTAATTTTCCGTATTTCAGAAAATCTCCCCCTCTCCTTCACAATCCCCTTTCAGTAGTACCTTTTTCCGGCGGGGGGGGGGGGGGGGGAGAAGCCCCCCAAATTTCCGACAA